CCAGCTGCTGTCTGATTACTGTAATGTTCGGACTATTGAGGCACCTGAATATATAAATACCCATTAACTTTAAAAAGAAAAACAATGTGTACATATACAGGCCACACTTGTCTATAAGCTGCAGGCGTCCACGTTGTGACATGAGATATTTACACAGCAAGATGTTTTTAAATTTTAATTAAATCTGTACCGTACATGCTTTTTTGTATGTGCATTTCCGTTTGTAAGAAATGTGAAATTGTAGAGCAGCGTTATTTTGTGATTTTGACACTAAAACTGTGTCGCTTGCTCTCCAACGTTGGTGCTGAAATGTGGCCAAAGCCCTCCTTAAATCAATGCAAACAACTCAATGTACTGTACGTCTGTTGTACGTATCTTGAGAAGTGTTCCAAGGTCCAACCGAAGAAGATTGCGATAAAGTTATCAGGGTGTTCGTTCGAACGTGACGCTGCTGTCAGATTAACAGTACATCTAAAAGAGGTTTATTTTTAATTCTGTATTCTTTACACCCTAAGCAGCTTGTATAAAAGTAATGTAATGCTTCTCACAACACCTAGCAGTGACGTGGTATAGCTATTTAATAATACCGTAATTTCCGGACTATGAGAGCACCTGAATATAAGCCGCACCCACTAACGTTAAAAAGAAAACAAGTTTTGTACATATATAGGCTGATCTTTTAATTAAATACGTACCGTAAATGCCTTTTTCTGAAGAGTGCCTGTAACACGGCTGATTAAAAAAATAAATAAAATACAGTAGCCTAGCAGGAAAAGTCATTGATCGCCATCTTCATCTGATTCCTGAACAGCTCTCGCTCGCAATGTCACTTTGGTCTCAAGGCAAATTCGTAAAAATCCATAAATTAGCCGCATCGTTGTTAAAGCTGCAGCATTCAAAGCGTGTGGAAAAAGTAGCGCCCTATAGTCCGGACATTACGGTAATAATAATAATAAAGCCTCTCCATGTGAGAAGTAGCCTGAGTGGTGCAATCCTTTTTAAAGCAGTAAACATTAGATCTAGTTTGAATGAACAGCTGGTGCAACCGCCGTCTGGTCACTCACCAAATCAGCCCGTGTTGTGTAACCATATGCATCTCTAAACCGATATGGGGTTTACCTTGCTGTTTTTTTGGGTCTCTTATTATGCTGCCTTTTTTTTGTTTGTTTGTTTGTTTGTTATTTTTCTCCTTTGGTTTGGTTTTCTTGTAGTGGACTGTCTGTGTATTAGTAGTCTGTAGTCGTAGTCGTAGTGTACTGGTCTCAGTTTGTGACACAGTTTTAATGCCTGGCATAGTGTCTCATGTTTATTTTATTTCTCCTTTTTTGGGAATGAGGATTGCTCTCTCTCTCTCTCTCTCTCTCCTCTCTCTCCTCTCTCTTCCTCTACCTCTCTCTACCTCTCTCTCGCTCTCTTTCTTTCTGTTCCCTCCATCCTTTGGTGCTCTGTTTCTCAACCCACCACATATAATGAGATTTTTCAGGAGAATGGTCACCAAATCTAATTGCTTTATTTGAATGATGCACCTTGGTATATATGTTCTGTTTAAACAGTAATTGTTTTTTTAATTTAATTTTTTGTGTTGCTCATGTAAAACTTTCTTCCCCTCTTTTTCTCTTTCTCTTCACTCCATCTTTATGTTCTCCTGTTGTCTTTTTTTTTTTTTTGTAAATGGACTGGCTCTGTCTCTTTACTTCTCACCTGCATCCCTTCCTCTTAACTTACCTGTCCCATGTTTGTCTCGTATGTGTTTGACGTGGGAGTGCTGCGATCGTTTTGATTGGTCTCTATGCTGCATCCGACGCTTGCTGATTGGCTGAATTTTTTTACTTCCTTTTTTTTTTCTTTTTTCAGTTTGTTACTCACTCTTGGTCATGTGATGCGCCCATATTTGGCTGTGTGTAATTTCTGTGTTTATATGATTATTAATTTAGTCGAAGAAATGTTTTTGCACCCCCTCTTTCTCTCCCTCTTCTTTGTGTTTTATTTCGATATTTCTTTTTTTAGGTATGTAAACCCCACAAGTTTGGTTTCATATGGAAATGTGACTTCGTTTTGTTTGGGTTTTACGCCGTCCAGGCCGGACTGGGAGGGGCAAAAGTGGGATGAGAAAGGATGGATGTTTAATTAACCGTCGACACTGAGATTTGCCTTCCATATTGGTCTCTGTTGATTTGCATGTGCTCCTGTCAACCATTGACCCAGTTTCATTAATTGCGCATGACACGACGTCTGACTGCATCTACACAGACCCCCCATTAACACAGGTTAAACCCTCTAAAACCGCAATGGGCTCCTGTAGCATTTTGACTCACTGTTTCCTAATATTGCACTTTAATATAAAGTCCTGCATCTCTATGGAAACGGCACAACCCCGCCTAGAAGCAGAGAGAACTCAAAAATGGATTCTATGCAATAAGCTATAAATGATTTTTAAAAGAACAACAAAAGTTAGATTTCTTGTTCAAACAGTGATGAAACCTAGAATTTAACGTGCACCACATTTGTCCATCTGCCCTCCTGTGTTATTAATATCAATATCTGAGAATCTACGTTGAGTCTAAACACAACACTTCTAATCTGTTTCCGTACCTGTTGGCCGTCTGCACAGCACAGTGTAAACACAGCCTGCAGCTCAGCCAGAAAGTCCCAGAACTCTTGTGAGAGCCAGTCACTCACAGCTCCTTGGTTCTGCCAAGGATCGCAGAATCCGGTCCAAACAAACAGCAGTCGTGACTCGATAATCCGACACTTAACAATCCGAAAACCTTGCTGTCCAATTCTGGTAGATGAATTGTAGCAACTGGACTTGCTTGAAGACGAAGACGTGGCTCGGAACAAAGCCTAGCCACAAAAGACCCTAACGAACCCCGTTGTGTCGGGGGACCCACATAATGAGGGTGAAGGAGCAACAAACCCCAAATTGAAACTCAGGTGTTAATGACTCCTTAAGAATATCAGTATCTGGAACTCCCAACTAGTCAGTCAGACCTGATGAAGCCTCTTGGATGAAACGTCTTCAAGGAACTCAAGCAGGTCCAGTTGTTATGATTAATCTACGAGAATAACCACGACCTGGAGGACTGAGGGTCTTCACAGACATCTTGCTATCCGACAGGTTTTTAGGAAAAACGAACGGAACCCATAAAAACAGCCTTAACATACCGACAGCCTTGGATTCTGACTCCGACATGATAACGGCGTATTATCTGACTGAACGATCCCACAGATTTATTTACCTTTGATGTCAAGTGACGGGTCCGTGCACAAGCGCACCGGTCAGTTAGGCTGAAATCCAGCGATGCGTAGTGTTCTAACAATACACTAGTTATTATAACAACTATGAACAATAATGAACAACTAATGATCCTTCCAGCATCAAGCCCTCCTTGTATCTGGACCTCCGTCTTGACAATCCGACATAAAAGAAGGTTTTACATTTAGTGTCGGATTAACGAGTCACGACTGTATTTATTTTTGGCTGATTTTTAAAATGGGGCTTGTAGAATAAAATTAAACACGTATATATATGAGTCTATATAGATGAGTACTTCATGGACTGTAGGAGATTTAATAATCCAGTCATTCTTTATGTCTTCACACACAACAATAAAAGAAGCCTGTCTTCAAACCTGCCGGCAGGTTTTCAGGTTGAGAGGGTTCACTGGTACTAGTTTATATTCTGGACTAAATCTGACTGTGTTACAAAAAAGCTGAAATTAATTAGATTCATTAACTTGATTTACATTCAGAGCGTTCCCACTCAGACACCCGTGGACACTTGTGTCAGATAGCTAGCCAGGCTAGGCTAATTGAATCACATGCCGCTGACCTTGTCATTTGCAATGAGGGAAAAATGAGGTAAACCTCATTTCCATCTGAATGAAGCTCTGCAGATAAAGAACATGACTCACCGCGAGAGGCAATACGGAAGGCGGCGGAGGCCTTAATGGTCTTCTAAATGGGAGTGCAGCGCGAACACAAGCACTCCCATTCCTCAGCCTCTCTCCTCCGCCGTCGCACACATGCACACACACACACTCTCTGCTCGTCTCGCCAAAAGGTCGTTAATCTTCAGCTCGCCACACGGTGAAATGTGCAACTCCGACATCACACTCGGACAGTGCGGGTTATTACAGGGAGCTACAATCTCCTTCTTTTAAAGCCCATCAAAGGAAGATGAGGATAGATCAAGGGACCGGAGTGGGAGCCTTTGAAGCTCAGAGAGGAGATTATCAGCCATCTTGGATGGAAAGGCCCGAGCATTAGTCTGAAATGTCAGCGAGCATGCACTGAACATGCACACACACACCTAAAAAAAATAAAAGCATTTCCCTGTGCATGCTAAAAGAAATACAGCTCAGTTTCCTTTTTTTTTTTATTTTGTATGCACATCAGCAGCGTAGCCACCCGTCAGTGAATCCCCAAAGCTCGACTTGCTTTTTACTGCATGACGACTAAAACCCCCCCTAACACACTTCTACACACACATGAACACAGACGCCACTAAAAGCAGCCACGTCGCTGGTAGCTTTAAATGATGCTGTATGTTACGAGCGTGCACGATGTTTAACATGCACAGAACATATTCACGTGCACGGTGACGGCGGGCCGGCAGGTGAGGCTCTGACGTGTGCATTTTGATAATAAAAACAATGTCATGTACTAATTATGTAGGACAGAACGATCGGGGGGAAAAAAATGCAAATTAGATGTTGACAAAATGAGCCATAACTCACTTTTAATGACCCAGACGCAGTAATTGAACTCAGAAAATGTCATTTTCAAGGGAAAAAAAAAGCAAAACAAAACAAAACTGGAGGCGATCACGACAGCGTAGCAGCAGGCACGTCGATTGAAATTTAAAAAATAATAAAAATAGCAGAGCGTACATGAGCCTCGGCCTTGATTCAGTAAACTACATTTGAGCCTGTGAGCTACTTCCTGTGTGGAGCTGTTGTTGTGTCTGTGCCTTGACCGTGCGCTCCTCCGTCCCCCAGGTGAATAACGCCACCGCCAGGGTGATGACTAACAAGAAAATGGTCAGCCCCTACCCTAATGGAGAGGCTCTCAGCACGCTGCCCTACGGTAACAACCACAACGACACACACACACACACACACACACATGAACACCGGCTCGCCTAATGATCCAAACAGCGCCGGTACACAGCGAGGCCGCGCACACACTCTTTACATTTAGCTTCCTTTTTTCTTTTTTTGCACCTCTGTGAAGCTTGATTCATGCCTTTGTGTTCGCAGCCTCCTGGATCGTTAGAAAATGAAGTGAAATCGGAGACCTGTGGGTGAAATTTACTAGAACTTCGGCCGCCCTGACACGGCGCTAATAGCTGCCATATATCTGCCGTTTGAAACTGCCACTGACGTTACTACAGATATTTTTTTCGCTTACTCGTTATTCTGCAATTACAGCTTGACTCCAGGTTGAGACGTCATTCTGACCGATCATTACTCCAGTTTAAGGCGACGTGTCGTTCCTACTGGTTCAAACCTAATTTAAGCATCTAAATAGGACAGTGTTGAGCTTTTGCCTTTATTTAGAGCAGCAGAGATAGACAGGAAAAGGGGGGAGAAGAATGGGAGACCTGCAGCAAAGGGTCGTGAGTGGGAGTCGAACCCACGACCGCTGCATC